TCCCCTGTGTCACCTCCAGGTGTCTCCTCGTGTCACCTCCGCCACCTCTGTGTGTCTCCAGGTGTCACCTCCCCCATGTCACCTCCCTCATGGCACCTCCAGGTGTCTCCTGGTGTCACCTCTGCCATGTCACCTCCATGTGTCTCCTGGTGGCACCCCCTCCGTGTCACCTCTCCCGTGTCACCTCCAGGTGTCTCCAGGTGTCACCTCCCCCATGTCACCTCCAGGTGTCTCCAGCTGTCACCTCCACCATGTCACCTCTGCCATGTCACCTCCAGGAGTCTCCAGGTGTCACCTCTGTGCCTCCAAGTGTCACCTCCCCTGTGTCACCTTCAGGTGTCTCCTGGTGTCACCTCCCCCCATGTCACCTCCCCTGTGTCACCTCCAGGTGTCTCCTGGTGTCACCCTCCCCCGTGTCACCTCCATGTCTCCTGGTGTCACCTCCACATGTCATCTCCCCCATGTCACCTCCACGTGTCTCCAGGTGTCACCTCCCCCATGCCACCTCCATGCACCTCCAGTTGTCACCTCCGTGTGTCTCCTCGTGTCACCTCCCCCGTGCCACCTCCACCTCTCCACCTGGTGTCACCTCCAGGTGTCACCTCCAGGTGCCACCTCCCCACCCACCCTGGCCGTGTCACCTTTGTGTGCCATCTCCATGTGTCCCCCCCCAATGTCCCCCCAGTGTCCCCCTGGTGTCCCCACCTCGTCCTCGCAGTACTTGCGGATCACCTCCAGGGCGCTCTCGGTGATCAGCGGCGCCTCCAGCACCACCTTGGTGAAGATCCTGGGGACGGGGACAGCGCCGATGTCACCGGGCCGGGGACACGCCAGGGGTGGCCCTGGGGCCGGCCTGGCCTTGGTGGCTCTGCTCTGTCCCCAGAGGTGCTGCGGTGGCACCAGATCGGCCCGAAGGGGTCTGTGCCACCCCTGGGGACACCGTCCTTGTGGCATTGTCCTACACCTGGTGGCATGTCCCACTCCTAGTGACACTGTCCCACTCCTAGTGACACTATCCTACACCTGGTGGCACTGTCCTACACCTGGTGGCACTGTCCCAGTCCTAGTGGCACTTTCCTCACCTGGTGGCACTGTCCCGGTCCTGGTGGCACCGGCCCAGTCCCAGTGGAACCAACACAACCCTAGTGGCACCAACCCAGTCTGGTGTCCCCAACCCAACCCTGGTGGCACCAACCTAACCCTGGTGGCACCAACCCAACCCTGGTGGCATCAAACCAATCTGGTGTCCCCAACCCAACCCTGGTGGCACCAACCCAACCCTGGTGGCACCAACTCAATTTGCTGTCCCCAACCCAATCTGGTGTCCCCATCCCAATCTCAATGGCACCAACCCAACCGCAGTGCCACCAACCCAACCCTGGTGGCATCAACCCAATTTGGTGTCCCCATCCCCATCCCAATGGCACCAACCCAACCCTGGTGGCACCAACCCAATGCGGTGTCCCCAACTCAATGTGGTGTCCCCAACCCAACCCTGGTGTCCCCAGCCCAATGTGGTGTCCCCAACCCTATCCCAATGGCATCAACCCATCCCTGGTGTCCCCAGCCCATCCCTGGTGTCCCCAACCCAACCGTGGTGTCCCCAGCCCCAGCTCCATGTCCCCGCTGGTGTCCCCACCCGTCCTTCTGGTCGGGTTTCTCCTGCAGCCCAAAGGCACCAACCCAACCCTGGTGTCCCCAACCCAATGTGGTGTCCCCAACCCAAACCTGGTGTCCCCAGCCCAATGTGGTGTCCCCAACCCCATCCCAATGGCATCAACCCATCCCTGGTGTCCCCATCCCAAAGGTACCAACCCAACCCTGGTGTCCACAACCCAACCCTGGTGTCCCCAACCCATCCCTGGTGTCCCCAACCCAACCCTGGTGTCCCCAACCCAACCCTGGAGTCCCCAGCCCCAGCCCGGTGTCCCTGCCCTGTCCCCGGTGTCCCCACCCGTCCTTCTGGTCGGGTTTCTCCTGCAGCCCGGCCAGCAGCCCGATCAGGCACTCGTCGTAGCGCTCCAGGCCGCCGGGGCCGCCGCGCGCCAGGTGCGCGTTGTACTCCTGGAAGAGCCACGCGAAGGCCAGGTCCAGGCGGCCCCGCACGTCGTCCAGGATGAAGGACAGCACCTCGCCCTTGAGGGGCACCTCGAACTGCGTCACCAGCGAGGCCAGGATCTTCACTCGGGCCTGTGGGGACACCCGGGTCACTGCGTGGTCACTCAGTGGTCATCACTGGTCATTTGAAAGGGTCACTCAGTGGTCACTGCATGGTCATTGAATGGTCAGTCAATGGTTAATCAAGGGATTAGTCAATGGTCACTCAAGGGTCAGTGGAACTGCGTCACCAGTGAGGCCAGGATCTTCACTTGGGCCTGTGGGGACACTCAGGAGCTACCCTGTGGTCATTCAATGGTCATTTGAAACGGTCACTCAATGGTTAATCAAGGAATTAGTCAAGGGTCAGTGGAACTGCATCACCAGCGAGGCCAGGATCTTCACTCGGGCCTGTGGGGACACCCGGGTCACTGCGTGGTCACTCAGTGGTCATCACTGGTCATTTGAAAGGGTCACTCAATGGTTAATCAAGGGATTAGTCAATGGTCTTTCCATGGTCAGTCAATGGTTAATCAAGGGATTAGTCAATGGTCACTCAAGGGTCAGTGGAACTGCGTCACCAGTGAGGCCAGGATCTTCACTTGGGCCTGTGGGGACACTCAGGAGCTACCCTGTGGTCATTCAATGGTCATTTGAAACGGTCACTCAATGGTTAATCAAGGAATTAGTCAAGGGTCAGTGGAACTGCATCACCAGCGAGGCCAGGATCTTCACTCGGGTCACTGTGTGGTCACTCAATGGTCAGTCAATGGTTAATCAAGGGAAACTGAGGGAATAGTCAAGGGTCACTTAATGGTCATTCAGTGGTCAGTCAATGGTCAGTCAATGGTTAATCAAGGGAAACTGAGGGAATAGTCAAGGGTCACTCAAGGGTCACTCAAGGGTCATTCAGTGGTCAGTCAATGGTCATTCAATGGTCAGTCAATGGTTAATCAAGGGATTAGTCAATGGTCACTCAAGGGTCACTGCAACTGCGTCACCAGCGAGGCCAGGATCTTCACTCGGGCCTGCAGGGACACCGAGGGTCACTCTGTGGTCACTCAGTGGTCATTCAATGGTCACTCAATGGCCATTCATTGTCATTCAAGGGTTGTTGTAGTAAAGGGTCACTCAGTGGTCACTCAGTGGCCATTCCATGGTCATTCAAGGGCCACTCAAGGGTTCCCTGGGGGTATTTCCGGGGGAATTCTGGGGGTACCCCAGGTGTATCCCAGGTGTATCCCAGGTTGCCCAGGTGTATCCCAGGTGTGCCCAGGTGTATTCTGGGTGTATCCCAGGTGTATCATCAGGTACATCACCTGGCACAGGTGACACACTCACACAGGTGTGACAGTGACCCCGAACCCCCAGTGTCACCACCTGATCATCAGGTACATCACCTGGCACAGGTGACACACTCACACAGGTGTGACAGTGACCCCGAACCCCCAGTGTCACCACCTGATCATCAGGTACATCACCTGGCACAGGTGACACACTCACACAGGTGTGACAGTGACCCCAAACCCCCAGTGTCCCTCCAGGTGAGCTCCAAGTTGGGACAGGTGTCTGTCACCACCTGGAACATCACCTGCCACCTCACACAGGTGTGACACAGAAACCTCCCCAGAGCCACCCCACAGTGTCCCCCAGGTGTCCCCAGGTGTGCCACACCTGCTCTTGGTGTGCAACCAAAGCCCCCCAATCCCCAGGTACCTCCCAGGTGTGCCCAGGTGTATCTCAGATGCCTCCCCAGGTATATCCAAGCCCCCCCCAGGTGTGCCCAGGTATATCCCAGGTGTACCCCAGGTGTATCCAAGCCCCCCAGGTGTACCCAGGTGTACCCCAGGTGTCCCCAGGGTAATCCCAGGTGTACCCAGGTGTACCCCAGGTGTCCCCAGGGTTATCCCAGGTGTACCCAGGCGTACCCCAGGTGTCCCCAGGGTTATCCCAGCTGTGCCCAGGTGCGCCCAGGTGTCCCCAGGGTTATCCCAGGTGTACCCAGGCGTACCCCAGGTGTCCCCAGGGTTATCCCAGCTGTGCCCAGGTGCGCCCAGGTGTCCCCAGGGTTATCCCAGGTGTGGGGCCCGTACCTGGGCGGCCCCGCTGGCCGCCACGGCCCTCTCGGAGCGCAGGATGCGGCGCACGGCGCCGAGCTTCAGCTTCTCCACCTGCACCTCGCTGAGCGGCTTCAGCACGTCGCTGAGGCGGAACACCTTCTTACGGCCCCCGGCGCCCGCCAGCCTGCGCGGGGACGTCACCGGGGTCACCGGGGGGAACGGGGTCATCCGGGGGAATGGGGACATTGGGGTCACCGGGGAGAACAGGGTCACCGGGGTCATCCAGGGGAATGGGGACATTGGGGTCACCGGGGGGAACAGGGTCACCGGGGTCATCCAGGGGAATGGGGACATCAGGGTCACCGGGGTCATCCGGGGGAATGGGGACATTGGGGTCACCAGGGAGAACAGGGTCACCGGGGTCATCCAGGGGAATGGGGACATTGGGGTCATCGGGGGGAATGGGGTCATTGGGGTCACTGGGGTGATGGGGGTCATCCAGGGGAATGGGGTCACTGGGGTCATCCGGGGGAATGGCGCCATTGGGGTCATCCGGGGGAACGGGGCCATTGGGGGCGTGGGGG